TTAGCATACTTTATAGGATTAGTAAATTGTCGTTCTTCTCCATTACATTCTTTACTAAAATAATCTAGATTTATAACTTTATTGCAAAATTTTGTATATTGTATATGTATAATAAGAGAGGTGCTGTTGAGATAGATATATCATATTTTTTATATTATGTCCTACGTGCACATGTTAATTTTTAAACTTGTGGATTTCAATTAACAACCTGACAATATGTCAGGTTTATTGTTAATTATTGCCTTAATGTAATTAAACTGAGCTGAATATTATGTTATGTTTAAATATATTCATTGTATATTAATTTAACCTAAATTATTGCAAAAAAATACAAAAATATAGTAGACCGTGCCCTTAAAATACTACATTAGCGAAAGGCCAATATTGATTGCAAATATTTGCAATTAGCTGATGATGCAAATAGAAAATCCATTTAATCTCTTAGTTATCTAATACTAAGTAAATGTAACACTCCCAATTTAGATCAGTCAATTCATACATTACTATCAATTCATTAATTACGTCCGGGGTGCTTCATCTTAATTAGTCAAAGATTGATTTATACTCTCGGGGATATAGATAGAGACTTCTTTACTGCTATTTATCATTCTGTATGTAACTATGTAGGCCTCCTATAGTGTGAGAGTGATTGATATTTTGTCTCCAGGCCTGACTGATCGAGTGGATATACTTATAGTGCTTGATTTGATTACGATTCACGAATAATGTTGCTTTACATGTTTTTGATATAGAAAAGAAAATTAAAATATTAGAACAGCAAATTTTTCTTTCCAATTGTATGTTATTTGGTTGTTATCAGTTGTAAATGTAAAAAAAATAGCAAACAGCGTTTCTATTATTATAATTATAGATTTTGTAATTAATAGTTTATAGAGGAGACTTTCTTTTTCCATATGTTGTTTACTACATAAGCAATTTGGATGTGAATAAAAATTGTCAGTGCCTACTGTTTAATTAAAAAAAATTAAGTATTAATTTAATTAAATTAAAAATATGTTAATCTATGTCCGTGTCTTATTATAATGTTGTATCCAATCTGACATCTCATTTTAGAACAAGGAAACCACATTGAATGTTACAAACGGTAAATCAAACTGTCATTTAGTTGAAATACCTACGAATTGTGGACGGATGTACAACATACTGTTTTGTTCAGGGTTGCCATCTTTAAAATGGTTTGTCTTGTAGGTGCTTGCTTAAAAATTCATATATATATTAGCTAGTCAACCCTGTATGTCACCATGTTTAGGGGGTGAATTATTGATACAAGGTTATTCATTGCACTGTTTAAAACTTCACAAAAACAAATATTTAATTGATACAATATATGTTAAATATTGTTACTTACATTTATCCTAGATTACATAAGTTGCATTATTGTTAATTTTTTTTTATTTTAGATGTCATCATCCACTTACTTTATATGAGGTTACTTCGTACAGGATATTAAAAATCTCGTAGCCGTACGATACGGTTGGGAACCCTAGTCTTGCCCCGATATCGTGTCACGCAACACCCATTATAATTTGACCTTCCAACTTGCCGAACCTGTATTGTTTGCTCTGTATATATAATTGCTTGAAGGAGAAAGGTCCTGTGTAATTGGGCGGCTTGTTTGCAAACAAACATTAGAAACAGAGCCGAGATGTAATGATATTTAATTATTTGCTTTTAACAAGATGAAATATGCAACGTGTATATATTTTGCTGTTTATAATGAAGTTTATGTTATAATTTAACGGGAGATAGTACCATAAATGATTTGTAAAATATATTTTTATAACATTTAGAAAGATACAATATTTTATAACTAATACAAAATTACGTAAATGGTATCTATCTTATTTCAATTTAACATTGTTCTTTAGAATAATATTAAATGCTGTAACGTATAATAATAAACACGGCATACTAAGGATAAAATAGTCTATTTCTTTATTTATAATTATTATAGAATTTCCTTACATATTATTAAATACACTTTTAATTATTTTATGTAATTTGAATAGAAAACAAGGTGACAACGTAATCACGCTTATTACATAAGTATAGTAAGCACTAACTAACAATATAATACATACTGTTCATATAATACATATATAAACAGCACTATAGCCATCACGGGATACCCGTGATACGATTCATGCGTTATTCTTTCAGAAGGCTGAGATATTATACCCTTATTCTGCAATTTCAGTGCCTAATCGCACCCTACAACGGAAACATAGCTTATAAAGTGAGGAAAAAAAGACTATACAAATTTATCACACGATATCAAAATTATCTGTAATGTTTTGTTAAAATAAGTTGTTTAAACTATAACAACGGAGAACTTGAAAGATATAATACTAGCTGACCCGCGGAATTTCGTCTGCATCACACTTACTCAATTTACATTATATCTTTTTAAATTATAGTCTATGTGTTATTCTGATGTATAAGCTACATTACTGTAAAGTTTTATCAAAATCCGTTTAGTAGTTTTTGCGTGAAAGAGTAATAAACATCCATCCACACTCACAAACTTTCGCGTTTATTTTATTATTAGGATTAACTCTGTATCGTATTCGAAATCTTCTGAGCATGATACTAAAAAATATTAAAGTTTAAGTAACTCTGTAGAAAAGAAAAACGCATTCAGTAATGTCATGTTTGTTTCCCTCCACTTGTTTTTATATCTAACACTATGTCAAACGCGTTTGAAACAGTATAAACTTTCACGCGTTTATTTGAAAATAAAACCAAAATTTAACTCGCAGCTGCGCTGAATTTAAAGAGCGCTTTTGCTACACATACTAAAGTTTGTTTAGAACTAACTGGTTCTAGTAAAAACTGGCAAGATAAAATATCTCCAGTTTCCGTATGGTTTATGTGTACTCGTGAAAGTGTTTGTCCGTGAAATATTTGCTGAAACTTTAGTATGATACGTAGTAGCGTAGGCTTATAAAATATCTCAAATAAGAGTAAGGCAGAAAATAAAGTTTTCACTCCCTGGAAACTTCAGACGCCATTTTAATATATTTGTTATTGGATTATATTTAAAACACATACTTTTTCATCACATACCGGGCTTTCGAGTTGAGAAAACTGACAAGAAACTCAGTTCGTATTCTTTTCAAATATAGCATACAATAATACAGATTAATTTTTAAATTTAAATTTGCGAGCAGTATATTAAACCACCACCAAGGCCATTAAATTTTTATTAGAATAGTATTGGAATAAGCATAATCCAATCACACAAAAAACAAATAACAAGAATAGAACTTTAAACTTTTTGATTGTCTTTATTTGATAGCCTTTGTCACGAATTCCTCACAATTTATATCATAAAGAGTAGGTAAAGCTAGGTTGTCGAGTCATCGATAACCTTACAACACATAACCTGAAATTATTGGGAATAAGATTAATGTGATATTTAAGTATTTCTATTATAACTAAATGAAATAGACATTATTGAAAACCTTTGTATCGGAATAAACATTAAAGAGTTAGGTAATCTAGTCACAGAAACTCTTGTTAATAGTAGAATCTAATTCATGGTTAGCTAAGTGTTTAACTGAAATTACTTAGAATTTAGTATAAATAGGTTTAAGATATGTTTAAACTACCTGTGAACGCGGTGTCATCCGCTTGATGTTTATAGCCTGTGTTATTCTGATGTATAAGCTAAATTATTGTAAAGTATCACTAAAATCTAATCTAATCTAATCATTAAAAAATTTAGTATTTTTTGCATGAAATATTTATCATATCCATCTACACTTATTAACTTCCGCGTTTATAATATTGGTAAGATAATACATAGCTTTTAATTTTTAATATATATTTTATAAATTAACATTTTTTTTTTCAATATATTCCTAAGAAATCCACATCATTCACTACCAATACTAATGTGATATTTCTAAAGTTGGTTATTTAAAATATTTTCTTCGCAATACAATATATTGTTTTCTTAAGCGTAACTAAAAAAACCGTAATTCAGTTGTAATCTGATTCTCTTTAATTACAACAATAATTAACTCTGCAAAATACGTTTTCGTGAGATTACAATCGTATGCACTTAGCTTGAACTTTAAAAACTATTTTGTACATTACACAAAAAACGCTTTTAAGAAAAGGAAAGAGCATTTATGTTACTATTAAAAATATCCTTTAGTACTGTTCTACCTCGAGCTCTTTGGATAATATTTACACAAAGAGAAAATAATCAGGAGGATGAATAAATATTCTTAGAAATTACCAAGATAATTTAATAAAATTACCAAAATAATTAAAATACTAAAATTACTTACTTGAAATAAAATAGCGAGATTGTTTTATTATAATAAATAATACCTACTATTTATAATGGTAATAAATACCCATAATATGTCAATTTACAAAGTATTCGTAGAAAAAATTGTATTGTATTGTGTGTTGTATTTGGAGTTGGTGAATTTTTAGTTTTTAGTTATAGATATCTAACTAAAAGAATATATTTTTTAATTAATTGAAATGGTAAATGAATTAACAGTCGAACAGTCAGAAGTGGCAACTGCTGAAATATACGAGTACATGAGTTGCATCTCAGCGATCACAGAATATATTGTGTTGGGTAGGTTTTTCGTATTTCGCCATTCTTGAGGATTAAGTTATTATGCCATACTGTATAATATCATTGCCATATATCACCTCTCAATGTGGTTTATGTAAATCGTGAGACCGTCTGGTGGTGTCAGAATTTGTTGAGATAGACATACTCCGCGGACGATGTACAGAGAGTTCCCATCTTTTCATAGAATAAAGAAAGTCGCCGTAGCTATTTGTAGGCTTAGATCTTCAAAATTACGCAACGGTTTTTAATGGAGTTTTAATGAAAGTTTATGTATATCATGGAAAGAAGAGAAATTCAAAGATTTATAATGTACCTGCGAGGTCAGTGTTAAATGAATAGTTAGTTATAAATGAACTAATAACGTTTTTTTTTATTTCAGTTGTCAGCAACGTTGCTCGTGCTCCTACATCTATCGATGAACGTTGTCGACGAAGGACATGCTGTCAATCCCAGTGAGTAACATTTAAATATGTGACATATTGACGGGTATTTCGAGAATGAATGAAATTTAGACATAGGAAATTTGTGTTTTCGTATATTATTTTTAGAACTGTAGACAATAGTCCTCTCCAAGTGAATTATAAGTATTGCAGTTAAAGTACAAATAAACATATTCTTTGGTAATACCTACCCGCCTCCTAATGTAGGGTACTTCTATTATGTCTGTATCATTCTCACAAATGAAACAAATGAATTGGCTTAATTTTATCACAATGTGTAATAGAACAACCGATGTAGTAGTACATACAATAAATTCTTACTATTTATATGTTAATGTATTTTGCCCGTAATTTAGCAGCATAAGTCGCAGACTAATGCTCTTAATTGTTTTGTTATGAACCACATATTCATACATTACACATGTTCTATAGATTTAATCATATCAACGAGATGTAAGAATCTTTACATATATTTAATAATTACCTGAAACCTGAATTAAAATACCTGAATAAATAAAACAGACACAAAAATTATATTTGAATTCAATTAAAACACCGTTAAATATAGAAAAAAGTATATATATTAGAACCATATCAAATAAATACGAACAAAATAATTAAAATTGATCCAGATTTGGCAAAGGAGTCATTTGAGTCAAGTCAAAGGAGTTATTTAGTCATTTGAGAAATGGCGCAATAAAATATAGGTATATTATTTGTTTATATAGTATTCCAATCATACTGAAACATTAGTCAAATTGCGAAGGTTCTCATTTTTAATGTCGGTAGAACCAAATACATGTAATAATTTTTCTGACGCCCCCGTTTTATATGATTTCGACCGGGTACACCTTTCAGCCTTATAATTGCCTGGTACTACAAAAATGCCTTTATTCGGTTGATGGTTTCGTGAGATTAGAGGGTGATTATTAATACGTTGCTGAGTTTTGTCGAATAAGTGCCTTTTTGTGTTCACTACGCGACGCATGAATAATATAATTATATTTGATTCATTTTCGTTTCTCCTTTGAGTTGTTTTATTGTCCGGGAAGAATGTAGTATAAGGAAGATCTTGGCACGGCACTCGGCATCGTAAATGGATTGCGACTTTAATTCTTTTTAAGTCTTGTGTCACAGTATTATATTTACATACACTATCAACCTGGCCCAGTTTTAAACGGCTGTAATTATTGCATCTTTTTTTTTAATACTAAATTTATTTAAATATGGCTTGTTGATAATGTAAGTCTCTATAGGAGAAAGGTTTTTCTAAATTGGTAATATATATTCTTAGTTTTAATAATAAATAGTAAGATTCTCTTAATAGTTGATACAGAATTAAATATTTCCAATCTAAACATGTAAAATTGAATATGAATAAAATGCATAAATATTTTTTTATAATTTATTTTATTTATTATAATATATATGGTACATGCAATGTAATGAATTATACCTTTAAATAAAAAAATAATAATACCATAAATAAAATAATTTTATATTTACATTGTTTCTTTTGTGACATTTCAATATAGATATCGTTTGGTGAATATTACAGTAAGTTTTGAGTTCATAATTCTGGTGTGGTCAAAGCAATCCTTTGCAAGATCGCAGTCTTAGTTTACCTATATACGGGTCGTGGGGTTGTTTGGTAATTTCTACGTGCTACATCCGAGAATTGGGTGAGACCAGTATTTGAGGTGTTAATATTCCGCAAACAAATTACTGTGACCGCAAATTCTCGTCTCGGTAAGAGAACCAACCGTAATCTTGACTTCCGTGAAACGCCACACTGGTGTTGTGCACTAATATATTTACTTTACTATAGTACTTTTCATGGTGATATTATTGGCAATACCTGAAAATATTTTTAAGTATTATCTTGATACTTAAAAATTATACAATAGACAGTTTGATGTCATCAATGGTCTAGCTGTTTAGCACACCGTATTAGGTACTTTCGATGATCGCGGGTTGGTTTTCCCATACATGTGCAAACATTGGTATTCATGAGTAGGATTGTTAATAGTTAGTATCTATATATATTTAAAAAATGTCATAGAAATCAATTTCAGTTGTAGCCAGCTACTATTCAGAACAGTTTATTTGTTTACAGTTATTACTCTAGTTATATATATTTTTTACTTTATTTCACTATACACAGATTATCAAAGTATTTTCAATATTATGATTATAATTTGATAAAAAATATACTTCGATAAAAATTATACTTTTCTAAAACAAAGCAGACTTTCTCGCTTGTTTCGACAGCTGACAACCCTAACCGGACCATTGTTACCTATACTCGTGTCGAAATGGGTCGAATGCATTTTTCAGTGTTGAAAAAACAAACTTTTTTTGTGTGGTGTTCCGAACCGAGTTGTTTCAGCTTTTGAACAGGTTAATTTTCATCACAGGAAACAGTGGTCACAAAAATGTGGTAATACTTTTTGTGAGTAAGGATACATTTTAAATTGCAAAGTTCAACTCAAAATATTGTTTAATATTTGATTTTAAGTCTAATAGTGGCTATTTAAAACATAAAATAATAATATACTAGAGAACTACTTATTTAATTATACGATTACTATTAAATTGTTATATATATTATGAAAATAAAGAATTTATAAGTTTGGTGTATATTTGAACAATGAATAAAAGTTGAACAACAGAGAAAGCCATTATATAACTGTTACAGGAGAAAAATAAAGCAATATCACGTGTATGTACTATGTATCTACACGGAACGGCCGATATAGGCGCATGATGGGCGGTCGACGCTGAATAATGCATAAGGGTTCGAATATTTCAGTCTCCAGATAACCTTGCGGCCAAACAAAGTTGCCTGGATCGGCTTCTTGTTGTTTACTCTTGGACTATTAACTCATTAACATGGATAATTTCGAAAAATATACTTATATCGACAGAATTATCGCGGTAGATTTTGTTTTTGTTTGAAGTGATCTGAGTCTCCAAGCAGTATTTTGGAAGCTGTGTTTGGCTTGTAGAACAGGTATAAGGCAGTGAAATTATGGAACAAGAGGCATGACATAGCCCTCCGTAAGGAAGGTATGAACGGTATTGTGGCTAATATATGATGACGTGATGTTCCTAGTATTGTTTTTTTTTATACTACGATGGTGGTAATCAGGCATACAGCTCATCTGATGGTAAATGGTTATCGTAGCCTATGAAGGCCTTAAACACTAGGAGGATCACGTGCGCGTTGCCGACCCTTAAGAAATCTTATTATACCCTTCTTGAAAAACCCTTGTTTATGTACATAGGCTCGATCTATTAGAATGGTAAAAGGCATTTTATCTACTATTATATTATATCTACTATTTACATTGTGATAAGCATTTCACTCGATCACATTTCGCTGGTTAGCTTTCGAATGAAATTTGTTAATGGTATTTAGGGTTACTCCTAATTAATTCACATCTTCCTTAAACCACATTTAAGGTGCACCTCAATATTAATTAACAGACTTGCTAAATATCTAATAAGGGGGAGATTTATTAGTTCTATTATAGATGCAATTAATTGACAGTTGTTACAATTAATTTTACGAATCGCCATATATAAAATACCCAGATTTGCATTGATACAATTATTGTAAGATCTGTATTTTATTTTAAGTGGAATAGAACTCATTTTAATGAATATTAATATAGGTAAATCTATTATTAATAAAAAACAGTAGGTTAGGTAACGAAGGAATTTTGATAACTACAGGAAAACTGTTATTACCTATTTCTTTATTTAAAATAGCCCACAGATAACAGATAAGAAATTAAATTACAGATAAGATAATGCCTATATACGTCATGTGATGCTTTCATGTGTTCATATTACGGATCATCATCATCATCATCGCAGCCCGGAAGACGTCCACTGCTGGACATAGGCCTCCCCCAAAGATCTCCACGACGATCGGTCCTGCGCTGCTCGCATCCAATGCCTTCCAGCGATCTTGACCAGATCGTCGGTCTACCTTGCTGGATGGATGTCCATATTACGGATGACCAATATAAAATAGGTACTACTGTATACTATAATTTTATTGCCTTATGCACGTCCTTCAACCATGTCAACCATAATATAGCTTGCGAAGTAAGCTGGTTGACAGCTAAAATAGGAAAACGAAGGTACCCATTGTTGGTGACCAAGGTATGAAATCCCTTAGTTTTTTTTTCGTAAAAATTATGGTAATGAAATCTTTTTAACAATGCTCGCGTGGAAATAAATCTCGTAAGGTGCTGATACCCCAAATAAATTCAGGAAAGCGGAGTTTGCCGAACTCCAAAGAGTATGCCTCACTTGTTAGTCATTCCCTTATACCCTTATCAAGTGGGACGAACAGACTTCATAGTAAATATTTAGATTATGTTGTAGAACATGTCTTTCAGATTGAATATTGTACTGTGATTATTTATAACAGTTGTAAGTAAATATAATAGGAGTTTTAACTATATGAAGGTATCACAGTAGGTACTTATTATTTTCCACAGACCACTCTTTATTTTTAAATTTAAATTAAAAATAATTATATCAATATTTAACTGTGTCTTCTATTCGTAGCTGGGATACCCTATATTAAAATATATATAATATATTTTGAGAGCCACACAGTCCACCGGTTCGTTACAATCACCTTTATAGAATGTTTATATTTAGACAGAAAATATTTGAAAAGTTACACAACAATTTATTGTGTTATGGAAGTAGTACGTGAGAATTATTTCCCCCTAACCAATAGACAAGAGAGTATCGCGGCGTAGCCTTCAGAGATTCTACCTACGTTTGTTCATAAGCAGAAGTAGGTACCACAAAAAACTGTCTTTATTTAGTGATGTTACTTTATTAGTGAAGTTAAAAATTACAAGATAAATTAAATTAAATGTTTTAAAATCATAATCCGATCATTAAAAAAAATATCTCCATTATCCAAAACGTCAGTAAGCTCTTAAGTTTACGACGTAAGAGGTTACACAGGAGGGAAATATTGC